ACCACTGAACCACTAAACAAAATGGAAACTGCCAGTGGAACCACCATCCATGGGTAAATCAGGTGGATGCTACCTTTATTTCAATTCCAAAACTTCTTGTACTTAAAAATCCTTATGAGATACATTAGATGGCTTAGTGCACCTTTAACAACTGCTAGATTCAGAGTGGGGATTTCATTCAGTCCAAGGCTGGAGGAAAGTGAATTGAATGTAGTCTTTCTAAAATGAGAGAGGGTGAAAATTGGATTTTCCATTAAATAGGACATAGTCAATAGGAAAAATAAAGGAAAAAGTAAACTGCACAAGAAAATGGAAGTGCTAAACAGGATACACTGAGTAATGTTTGGGTCAGCCCTTTGTTCACCTTTGTTTTCTCTTAGATTACATTTTATGATCTGAATACGCATACCACCTGCTTTAACACCAATGCACCTACACAGTCCTCTCCAGCCACTTTTCTTCCCCTTGACAATAAATCCATCAAGTGTGAATGTTCTAGGACATCTTCAACTTTGCTTAGATATTGTATTAGAGGGGGAAAAAACACAGTAGGATATATATACATAGGTGAAGATATTTGTCACAGGAATTGGCTCACAGGGCTGCAGAGGATGAGAAGCCCACAGTCTGTTGTCAGCAAGCTGAGGAACCAGAAAACTCATAGTATATTTCAGTCTGGGTCCAACGGCCTGTCATCCAGGATCACTGATGCCTGAGGGCAGGAGAAGATAGACGCTCTAGTTCAAGAAGAGAGAGGGAATCGGTCCTTCTTTCATCTTTTGTTCTATTGGGGCCATCAGCAGACTGAGTGAGAGAGTTTCCCTCACCACTATGAGTGGCCATCTCCCAGTCTACTGAAGCAAATACTAATCCCTTTCAGAAATTCCCTCACAGACAGATCCAGACATAATGTCTGACTAGCCATCTGGACATCTCTTAACCCAGTTGACACATAAAATTAACCATTTCAGATACAAATTGGGTATTTTGCAACAGGAAAGATATTTGGATTCTCTAATAAGGGATATGCATTGTAGAGAGAAGTTATTTATGTTACATTAACACAATAAATCATTTAAAAGGAGACATGTACTTACTTTGTGATGCATTCTTCTAATTTCTCACACAAAATACACTGGGGCAAAGCACCTTAGGGATGGTAGGGCACAATGAAGCAAGCCTAATGTAAGATCATTCAGATTATTGCACAGCCTACATCCTTCCACCAAACATTGAGTGAAGCAGGTCTGTGTTCTTCCTTCATGTGGATGGTGGTATTAGACCATAAATGCTGTAACTGTGAATCGGAAAATTGCTGGTTCATAGCTCTGGTTTCACAGCTGGCAAGTAGATTGCACAGACATTCCCCAGAGATAGCATATGGTCTTTGAAGACCTAGATACTGTTGAAATTAATTGAATTTATATGACATCTGGATCAAAAGAAAAGTCATGATGGCACTAAATGGCCCTATTACGGTGGCTGCATATGAAGTTAGCATGAAAAGATAAACACCAAGTACACTTCAAATACTTAATCAGTAGCACTGCCCACATTAGCTCTTTAACTATGCCATGTTTTCAGTGCCTTTTTCAACTTCTCATAATCTGACACATTTTCTTTTGGACGCTGTTGTAACAAAGTGAAGCCATCTTCTTATGGAAGTCCGGAGAAATGTTTATGGCTCTACACCATAGTGTAATTTAGACTTCTCAGCCAAAATTCCTATCAGAATTAATTTGTAATCACCCCTTCCCTGAAATAGAAAATGCCCCAACAGAAAATAAGTGAAGAACCAAAGAAACAAACCCCAGTGAAACAAAAGAACTACCGATGCAATTACATTTTTAAGGTGAAAAAGAGAAGTGATTAGGTGCTTCAATTTTTTACCATTTCCTTTATGCAAATTTAAACTGTTTTAAATAAAATACCCCCCCCCCCCATAAAGAGCTGATCTTTAGTAAGTAAAGAAGTTCCATTTCACTTCTATGTAAGGTTGGAGGTAAGGGAAATAGGAATATGTGGATATAAGTGTTTATAGGAATCTTAGAAGATTTTGATAAATTATATCTTGTTGAAATTGTAAAGCCGAGGGACGCCTGGGTGGCGCAGTCGGTTAGGCGTCCGACTTCAGCCAGGTCACGATCTCGCGGTCCGTGAGTTCGAGCCCCGCGTCGGGCTCTGGGCTGATGGCTCAGAGCCTGGAGCCTGCTTCCCATTCTGTGTCTCCCTCTCTCTCTGCCCCTTCCCCGTTCATGCTCTGTCTCTCTCTGTCCCAAAAATAAATAAACGTTGAAAAAAAAATTAAAAAAAAAAGAAATTGTAAAGCCGACAGACTGAAATTTTGCTTATTGAACTCTTGAAAACTATCACCTATTGCAATACTAATAGTTGATCTTGGTTTAAACTAACAGTTTATAAAAAGGATCTTAGCAAATAATTTATTTGCAAAAAATTAATCACTCGTTTGTCTATGTGGATGATTAGTTTGATACTAATGTGGAAAATGCTAGACTAAGAAACAAGGCTTTTCTGTCCTAATACCTGACAAAAGGGTTAGTAGTGGGAAAAACTGAAAAATTAATGTCTACCAAGTTGCATTTAGTGGCAAAAAGTACATTTTTAATCCTTTTAAATGCTCTGTGCTACACAATGGGGTTTTCAAATTTCGGAATTTAAGATGTACGAACTCGTAAGGGTTTAAAAATGAAGCAGTGTCTAGAAAACACTAGATATAAATTTCTTTTCCAAACAAACAGATTTAAAGTCTCAGCAGGTTGAATAAACTAATTTCTGATATCCTATTTTTACATTTAATACATAATAACATTAATAAAAATTGATCGCTCTCCTTGAACCTACTTGAAGGAAAAACAAAAACGCTAAAATCCAGAAAGCTCTGTCACGTTTTATGCTTTTTTGCTTGGAATTTAAGGATGAACAGTTCAGAGGCTACTTAACAGAGCTCACTTGTTAGGTTTTTCTGAGGCACAGAGAGTCATGATGAAACAATATGATAAGTGTTTACGTCATCATATATCAGAGTGTCCCTCAAGCTGGGGGGGCGGGTGGTAAGGAATGACTAATTTCCAGATACCACAGGGAGGGAGGCATTACGAAGCTCCATTAATCACCATAATGCTGTCTTCTGACTGTGGTAGTGACACCAAGGAGGAATGATGGCTCCAATAGAAGACATTTTAGAATCAATATTCAAATTTTCATTAATATTTTGCTTTGACTAGAATACACGTATAAGCCAGAATCAAAACATTAACTTAGATAAATTCAAGAATGGGAGTCACAGACAATGAAATGGTTTATCCCAAAACATTTTCTGAAGTAATAGTAAAACTTCTAAATAAGACCCTCCTTCACAAACTAAACCAAAGAAATGACTGAAGTAATCGGAGAGCAAGAGGACAGCAAATGTACTTCCAACAACATCCTTGCTTCTTCCGGTTACTTCCATAGTTGCCTGGCAGCGGAGTCCTTTCCTGCTTCTTCGGTTCCTAGGCATGCTCAGGGTTCTGAAATGATTTTTTACTAAAGGTAAGCCAGTTAGTCAAACAAAAGCTACTGTCTTTGCAGTAATGAGTAAATATGGGACACATGTGGATACTCTAGAATGATAAAATTCCCATTTACCAGATGTTCTGTCTTCTAGAATTCTGCAGGATCAGCACATTCAAGAACAGTCGAACCTTGTCCTGCCTTCTTATGAAAAGTCTCAATTCACTGGTTTGAAGCACGGCTCTCTGTTCTCTTCCTCAATGGATTCACAACCCCAGTGCACACCTGGAGATGTGAATCACCTCAGGCATCAGGGCAGGCTTTGTTGGAAGGTTTCTGCATGTCTAATGATACTCTAGTTATTATAGTTTTTCTTTCTGTCCCAAATTACCAGTAGCGTCTTCATTTTCCTTTCTTGGCTTTTTTTTTTTTTTGCCTCTATTTTCTATCATGTTTATTAGCTTTTGTGTAAAAATTCTGTCCCTTTTATAGACTTCATAAACTCATAAGAGACTTTTTTTTCCTCCAAGTTATAACAGCAAAATACAATACACTAGGTGTACTCTTTGAAATTTGGATTAGATTCCTTCTTTTTCTATCTTTTCGTCCCGTCCTCCCTCCCTCTTTTCCTCCTTTTCCCTTCACTTCCCTTTTTCCCTCCCTCCCTCTTTCCTCCCCCTCTTTCTGGCTCTCTCTTTTGCTTTTTGCTGTATACCCTTGGGCTGATCTACTGACAGCAGAGCAATTGAAAGTGTTTAAGGTGTGTGTGTGTGTGTGTGTGTGTCAATATATAACCATGTTTTTTGAGATGTGGACAACCGATCTCCTTAAGGTTTTACTGGTAGCAAATCTATGGTGTTTATTATATTAAAACGTGGTAAGTACTGAAAATATAAATAGGTTCATAAAAGCTTAGATAAATTCATGGATAAAGGATTTATTATATTGCCACTATATATGACAACCGTTTGTTTTCATATTTACATTCAATTTCTTTGCCAGACAAAGACTCTCCTGGGTATATAATAGGTTTGACACAGGATTTAGTCTTGTATTCTTCACAGCTGCCCTAGTCATCACCAGCATTATGCCTTCCAGAATTTTTTTAAGTTATTGGCCCCCATGTAAATAACTCAAGAATACAAGCAAATATGCAATTCACAGGTTCTATTAAATATAACAAAGGGTAGTTAACTTTTGATTCTTTGGAAATAATTTATTCTATTCACATACTTATTTTTTTGCTTTTAGTGTGATAGACACGTACTTATGTTAAGACACATTTAATCTATTTGATCTATGAATATATTGGGAATGGTATTAATCTATAATGATAGTTTTAATTGTTAATGCTCATTTTTAAAAATTTTTTAATATGCAAACTTGATTCCCAGAAACAAGGACTTAATTACAAACTAAACTTCCTTGGAAAAAATCATAGCTCTGAAATGGTTTTTAAATCAACATATATTGCACTTAAATTGCAGATAAGCTCTGAGGTGAGAACCACCCCTAGATGATCAGGCAAAGCCTGACAAGAAGCCAAGAATCAGCTCTTGATGGGGGCTCCGTGAATGCATGCACCACTCTTAACCAAGGCATTTTCACTCTGTAATTTGCATGGTGTATTTCCTGTCTACCCTGCCTGAAAATATTTCCTTTTGGACTTAGCTACAAAGGTATTTTTGATGTCTTTTGTCTGTCTGTTGTTGTTGAACCCTAAAACAACATCCGAAAAGAGTGACAGTTATATTTTATTGTCTTCTCTCTACGTAAGAATAAGGAAATGTTGTATGAAAGATAGGCATGTGCATTTGATAGACTTTTTAAAGGAGGAAAACATTTCTAAGAGAAGCTTCAAATATTCAAAAAATGCAAAATGAAGATGCCTTTATTGTTGTAAAATCCATCATGTAAAATTAAACCTAATATTTGTGGGAGACGAATTAATGTCTATGTTATAATTTTAACTCAAGAGCACAGTTTGAAGGATCAGTCAATAAAGTATACTTCATAGATAAAAGATACTTAAAATATTTTCCCCTGATAATTACTACCTTAAAACTATTTTCAAATCTAGGGGCCCCCGGGTGGCTGAGTCAGTTAAGCGACAGACTCTTGTTATTAGCTGAGGTCATGGTTGTGAGCCCCACGTCCGGCTCCGCAATGCCAGTGTCCAGCCTGGTTGTTATTCTCTGTCTCCTTCTCTCTTTGTGCCCCTCTCCCATTCAAGCTCTCTTTCTCTCTCCCTCAAAATAAATAAAAACTTTTTAAAAACTTAAAAAAAAAAAAAAAACCAAACCTACATTCAAGTTTTAGGATTGCTAGAATGGAGCCTAGATTTCTACAATGAAATGTTTAAGAGTATTATGTTAATATTCTATGAAGAAACTTCACAAATGTTTAATAATTACACTTTCAATCCTTAGTGGAATAAAGTGCCTAAAACCACTCAAGCTGAAATTTCTGGGTCTGCATCAACTTCTCCACCAGAAGTGCTCTGATATTTATATGACGCTTTTCTTCTACCCTTAACATCTTGTTGACGGTTTACTATATTTGAGACTTACACTGTAGCCTGCCTGCTTTATGGAGCAAACATCAATTCCAGTTTGAAATACACGCTAGTAGCATTTCCTGACTCTGCTTGGCTTACGAGGTTAGTCATTCTTCAGTCCTGATTTTCTGCAAGAGCCAAACAGGTGCTTTTTAATGTACTTCAAGCATGCCAGGCTGAGAACAACAGGCTTGTTAAATAAATGTTTTTCAGAGACTTAATCTGAGGGTCATTAAAGGTAGGAATAGACTTCTAACTGTGACTTGCAATCTTGTGTCCTGGAGGCATGCGTGGATGTAATGAACTGACGTGGATGTTTCCAGGAGCGCCTGTTATGTGCCAAACTGTGAGCTTAGTGTTTTCAGGTATATACGCGCTCAGTCAGTCGCAAAAACACAGTGAAGTGAAGGTGTTAGGTAGGAATTGAGGCTCAGAGAAGTTAAGTAACTTGCATAAAGTGCGCTGGTTAAGAAATAATCGAGGTAGATACTGGATTTGAATCCAGATGTTCAGACTGTCTATTGTGCACCGCGTTGGAAGCCTACGGGACGTTAAGAGGCCCATCTGCAACTACAATTCTGCCTTTGGTGAAAGATTTCCTGTACTTTTACAAAAGAGTCGACTTAAGTCCTGTCGTGGGAACATTGTTCCCGCTTCAGGACCTGTTTGCCCTGTGCAAAGTTATTTAATCTGAGAATCTTACGTTTCTCTCTCTAAAAATAGCGAAAATGATACTTCAGACTGTCGCCCAAGGGTGTCATGAAAATTAATGTAATAATCATGGTCATCAGTCACTTTAAGCTACTAAAGAAAATTTCTGACTGGTAGATAAATCCACAAATTCTATTTTTATCCTCCTCCAGAGCCCCCACCATGGGCCCACTCCCCCACTTACTCCCATTTTCCAAGAACATAATGAAGAAAGGACAGAAGACACTGCAGTTACAAGCACCATGGCCCCAAGGAAAACACTAATAATGACATGAATCTTACTTTCAATTCTGATGAACAGTCTTCTTTGCCCAAAGCCTGGTTCCTTTTTTAATACATAGTGAATATGAGACTGACTCTTAAATAATTTCTTTGATAAAACCATAATTGTAATCCTGCCTAGATATAAATTTCTATATCAGCATATACATTATATGGCCTTCATTAATATTTTGTTAATGAAAGTTGAATGGTACCAAAGCTACCATCCTTTCTCCAGTAGATGTTATGCAAGACTGCCTTCAAGTTAAAGGAATCATAAAGGAATTTATGATGATAAAATTTATGTAAGACTAGAAGAAAGATTTAATAATAAAGGAAATAGCACAAAGCAAAAATTCTTGAAGAAGACTGTAGTAAAATAATCATGTTTAGCATGCTAAAACATGCCATTAAACAGATCTGTCTCCTCATTCCCGCATTAATCAAGAACTAAATCTTTGTGACCTTTAATTTCCCTAGTTGTTAAAATGGACTAAATAATAGCTTATGTGGGTTAGGGAAGGGGAATGAGAAGTAAATAGGATAAAACTTGTAATATTCAAAGGTAAGTTACTGATCAATTCAAGTTTACCAGTTAAATTTTAATATTTAACTTTTTGTTTGGTCACTAGTGATCAGTAGTAATTTCTGTTAGTAAAGTAGGCATTCATATTATAATGATGGTTTTATAGAAAGTCGAGGCACCAAATTATTTTATGTCATTTTTTGTCAGTTTCTTCAAATTCAAGGAATTACATTGACACAGTTCCAAATATTGAGTTGACATAACAGTTAAATTTTCAGCTATTCGGTGAATATATCATCTTATCGGGTTTATCTGTTTCCATAAAATATGCTGTATTGGGTTGAATAGTGCATTCTCAAATTATGAAAAGTGGATTCCTACATAGAAATGCAGGAAACTGGACACAGAGACACAGAAGGAAAACAAAACATCATGATATAAACAGAGATTGGGATGATGCATCTACAAGGCAAGGAACACCAAGAATTTCTGACAGCTTCCAGAAACTAGGAAAAGAAGCATTGAGCAGATTCTACCTCACAGTCTTCAGATAGAACCAACCCTGCTGATACCTTGATTTTGGATTTTGAGCCGCTCAACTGTAACAGAATACGTTTCTGTTGTTTTAAACCCCCTGGTTTGTTGGACTTTGTTATAAAGGCCCATGGAAACATAAAGGTATTGGTACTAGCCAGTTGGATAGAACTGCAACAAATACAGAAAATGTGAAAGTGGCTTTGGAATCGGTAATAGGTAGAGGCTGGAAGAATTTTGATGCTTAGGATAGAGATACTGAGATAGCCTTAAAGAGATTGTTTTTAGAAATAATGTTGGGACACGTGGGTGGCTCAATTGGTTAAGTGTTGGAGTTTGGCTCAGGTCATGATCTCACAGTTCATGAGTACGAGCCCAGTGCTGGTCTCTGTGCTGACAGCTCACAGCCTGGAGCCTGCTTTGAATTCTGTGTCTCCCTCTCTCTCTCTGCTTCTCCCCCACTCATGCTCGCTCGCTCTCTCTCAAAAATGAATAATTGTTAAAAAAATTTTTTAAAAATTGATGTTAATGGCAATTCTGGTGAGGTCTCAAAAAGAAGTTAGAAGAGATGTAGAGAAAATGTCTGTTATCTGAGGAGAATGTGTATTATCACTACCCGAATGCTGCCAGAAATATATTCAAGTGCTTCTGGTAAGGTCTCAGACACAAATGAGAAACATGTTATTGGACACTGGAATAAGATGATCCTTTGCTTTAAAGTAGCAGAGGATGTGACTGAATTAACTTCTGTTGGGTGGAAAGTAGATCATGTAAGTAACAAACTTGGATATTTAGCTGAGGAACTATCCAAGCAGTGTGGAGACGATGAAGCCTGATTTCTCTTTGCTGCTTAGGGTGAAATGTGAGAGGAAAGAGAGAAACTGAAAAGCACGAAGTTATCAGCACTTGACGACTTGAAAATTTCCCAGTATATCAGGACAGTAGGCCTGGGAAACAAACCCAAGGGTGTATCTGGGCAATCTTCACTAAAGAGATGAGGAATGTGACTTATGGATCCAATAAACCTCTCTGCAGAAGCCAGGAATAGAGATGGGATTATCCAGGAGGGATCTGTGGAGAATCCTCATATTTGATGGTATGGATCCCCTTGACAGCCCAGAAAAAAAATAATAAGGCTTCTGAGAATTTTATAGCTACATTACTGGCCTAGACTAAAAAGGAGGGAGATGGGACAAAATGAAGAATGATGCTGAGACCAGAGACAAGGATGCTGAGGCCAGAAAAGACAAGTCTGGCGCCTTGGATGGCCAGGACTGTGGGCTGTCCCAGGGCTGAGAGAGCAGAGCATCAAGCCATGTGAGATGACTCTCAGGCCTAGAGACCTATTGGAATTTGCTCTTACGAGATACACGCTTGCTTTAGACCAGTAACCCCTATATATATTTGTTTGTTTGTTTGTTTCAGTTTCTCCCTTTTGGGACGGGAATCTATATTCCATCCCTGTCCCATAACTGTATCTTGGAAGCAGATAACTGGTTTTCTAGTTTTGCTCATCACTGAACAAAAAGGAATTTTGTCCTCAGATGCGCAATATGCAGAGGCTCACTTATATCTGATTTTATAAGATTTGGAATATTTTTGAGTTGATATTAAATGAGATTTTAAATTCAGAGTTAATGCTTGAATGGGTTAAGACTTTTAGGGATGTTGAGATTGAGTAAATGTATTTTGCACATGAGAAGGACTTGGATTGGTTGGGGGGACAGAAGGTGGAGAGGACCGGGTTGAACAGTGCCCTCTCCCCAAATTCACATCTACCCATAACCTCAATATGTAACCTTATCTGGAAATAGGGTTTTACAGGTGTAGTCAAGTCAAACTGCATTGGCTTGGGCTCTAAACCAGTATGAAGGATGCTCTTTTAAGAAACGGGAAATTTGAATATGAAAACATGGAGGCAGAGATTGGATGGGTACATCTATAAGGCAAAGGACACCAAAAACTTCTGTCAACCACCAGAAACTAGGACAGAGGCATGGAACAGATCTTCCCTCGGAGTCTTCAAATGACACCAACACCAACCTTGATTTTGGAATTGTCAAAGAATAAATGTGTGGTGTTTTCAAAGC